GGAAACCGAGAAGGACGCAATCATAACAATGACTACAAGAACGGCGGATACGTCTGATCTCCGTGATAGCAATTTAGCATCCAAATCAAGCAAAACGAAAGACGCATGTGAGTTCCGACTATCTCAGCACAACGTGTATAGCTACGCTCCCTTTGGATTCTATTCTTGGATGCAGACCTCCAACATCAGACGAGCGTTTGTCGCTCGCTGAATCCAAACCGCAAATGTTTTTTTTGTCCAGAATCAACTGTCACTTAAACTCCGCTAGTGAAGTTGCTTGTTTGTGGCTCGTTGGTAGATCGGGACTGATATATCTTTATTGGACTAACGTTTCGGCTATATCACCTTCTTCGGAGTCTGAAATTGTCGAATGCACAGGTAACCTATCCTATCAAAAACCGCCTCAAAACTCAGAATGACGCCCAATGCGTTAGTAAAACAGGAATTCAAAGGTGTATAGAATGAACCGTGCTGACCTAGACAGATACCGACAAAGTGGTGTTGCAGACCAATATAAACCACTGAGTTCTAACTTTCTTATATACTTAGTGGGTTGGCCTCAATTTGACCTCAGAAGCCGCAAAGGCTTTGATATGCCGCCTACTCATTAGTGACATCTATGCCTCTTCTTTTTGACTCAAATTTGGATTTTTGGAGGCAATCCACAACGCATCCAAAGTCTTGTATGCTAGGATTTCGGATTCGTACGCCAAGATCATGACCTCCAGCGTACGTCTGCGCCGTCATGGAACCGTCTGCGATGCTTGCCCAATATAATTGCAAGGTCCGATTTTTTAAGCCCATCTGAGTGTTCTTTGGCGCGTACATAAAGCGCGCCCCGTTCTCCCCGACGCAAGTGCCTCCGCATGTCTGGCAAGTGATAAGGTACACTACTCCCGCTACCATTACTATCACCTTCTGTGCCCTGAGGGCATATTATGCATTCGGAGTCATGCAAAGCCTGCCATATGCTCGATTGCGTATTAGTTGACGTTTAAGATTTGTAGGGGGTACATTAACCACCCCCAGTCCTGTAGGTCGGCTTGCTGTACTAACCACCTGAGCGTCTTGCTCAACTCCTTCGAGATATATGGTAAGCGGAAAGGAATCTCTGCATCGGCTTCTATAACCACACTGTCCCGGGCTCGGCGATGTCTTGAAAAAGTGTGCCTAGAAAACTTGTAACTGTTAGATCTAGCTATGGGGTGGCGACATAGAGTAAGCCTTTTGCTGCATGTCGGAGGAGACCTTCACGGCTTCTGTACAGATTTCCAACGATAGATTTCTTGACTTGTTGAAAAACTTGCTGGGATGAGCTGAAATCCATTGAATGAGGGCCTTGCTGCTGGACTTGCGATACCATCGTGTTCTCCAACAATTTTACGAGAGCTCCAACTCGACACTCAAGAATAGGAGCCAATCGTCAGTGAGTTTTACCCGTGTCCATCTTATGTGCCGAGACTGCTGGTTGAGGATGCTAAAACCAAGATCCAGCTTTACTTGGGTGGAGCAAATTATACAACAGTCGTACGTAGCAGCAATACAACGGTCTTCGCGCGAGTAGTGGAGATTCTATCTTGGACATGAAGACGATAGCCAATGTCGATGCCAAACGCTGGCCCATAGGCGACCCCTAATTTGTTGTAATAGTGACCACTCCAGCGAAAGACTGTACATTGGAGGCTCTTGTTCAAAAGTACCATAATCCCTCTAATGCTGAAGCCATGAAGATTTAACGAAGTCTGATGTTGTAGATATAGCTCGGATGTACAATGCGTTTAACAGGGCCAGCGCCGCGTACTGCAGTTAAACATCTAGGCAAGCGCGCAGGGACCATGTTGCGCACAATATCGCGGGCCATATTTTTAGCACTGTATCTCGCATTGCCGTTTTTTAGCAGCGGATTTCCATTTTTATTGCTTCTATGCTCATATGCGATCTGCCTTGATACCGGATATATTTTTTTCGCGGTAAAAGAAGGAAGTATCAAATCTTTGACCGTTTCTTCATGGCATCCTTCATTTCATCCAGGTCTTCTTCGGATGGCTAATTCCGGTTGTCACGAATCATTGTATCGACTCTTATTACAGAGGACAGAGGACATTACACATTACTCTTATCGTATATCGTTTAGGTTAACTATTCTCTCAATCTGTAGGTTATACGATTAGACCTCACATATTCACATTTAGCTGTAAGGAGGAAGAGCACCAGTCGTTTTCAGAATTTTCTCATGAAATGATTTAGATTACATCTTCTTTTAGACCTCATACGTTCATCTTGTCTTCCATTCCAGCGATGATACTTCTGAGCTCCGGCCAGACTTCACTTGCAAGCGCCCAAAAGCGCCCAAATTTCTCTAATTCTCTCATCTCTTTCACACGAAAAAGTGAAGAGACATCAGAGAAATTTGAGCGGTTTTGGGCCCTTTAGGCGCTTTTGAGCGAAGTCTGGCCGGGGTTCAGGGCGTACCCAGATACAGTTTCAAAAGGAAAAGCTCAGGAACTTGGAAGCAGGGCGAATAAGCTAAGAAAGAAGCGGGAAAAGTAACTAAAAAAGGACCACACCAGTTTGCGCGGCCTGGTCCCTGCACGCTGCAGCACACGGTAGCGCTCGCGCGCAAGTGTGTGAGAGCGGCGCTGCCAAGTTGACTGCATCGTAACTTGCATGGCGTCGCTGTTGGAAACGTTGGTGTGAACCGAGGTTACGCCTAACGACTCCCACACATCCTTGGTCAACGCGCGTTTCGCGCAGACGATCTAGAAACATGTTTTGGAGGGATGCGAGGAGACGGACTTCAGCAGCTGAGATTAAACCAAATTCAAAACCCAAGCGACCTTGTCCGTTGGTCCACCGGCATTGGTGGTGATTGGTCTGACTTTAAAATCCTCAGAATTAGTAGAGGCAAAACCGGCAGAAGCTAGCTTGTGGGATTATTAGAGTGAGTACCGGACATATAGGCAAATCACACTTGAGACGCGTCACAATACTTCTATCTAGCCCCTCATATTGAGCAACACACTTGAGACGCGTCACAATACTTCTATCTAGCCCCTCATATTGAGCAACTTCCAACCAGAGCTTGTTTAACGGCTGTACTGTCTCTTGAATTCGCTTTTCGATGAGCTCTCGTACACTGTATTGTCCGCCAGGTGATTTCCTGTGATAGCCATGTCCAGTTCATCCTTCTTTGCTGGCAGACAGTTTGATCTGACCAGCAGCACCAAGTTCGCGGAGGCCGCGGCCTTGACTCGTTATTATATATAAGTTTTTTCTAAGATGACCGAATGTAGAAAAGAGAGACGTAGCAAAAAACCGAAATCCACTACCTGATTGGGCTCTTGGGGTTTGTACATTAGCTCTAGAAACGGTGTTGTAGGCAGTTTAACCCCAGCAACACTTTGTTCGCTTCTTACGTGTTCCATATCATTGGCTCCCTGGCGTAGCCTTCTCGAACAAACTGGAGGTTTCCTATGATCTTGCGCGATATCTTAGGTTCTACTGACTGGGCGGGAGCAAAACTTGGACCAAAATCCAAAAATGAAAGCGCATTTTCTGAGATAAGCACATCGCTGTCACTAAGACACGAAACTAAGCATATTGCCAGGAGCATTAGCAGCACTGTTCTGATTTCTGTTGATATCATTACTTGCACTCTCGGCTTTTGCAAAACACAATTTCCCTCCTGTTTCACTAATCTTTTGAGTTCTTCCTGCAGTATGGACTTGGCATTAGATGGAACTAGTTGACTTACCCGGCTCCGCCCGGCCCTGTCATTATTATATTCGTAATCAGATGCTCGATTACCCCCCCCCCTATGCCAACTCCCAGCTCCGTAGCTCAAATTTTGCAAAAAATCGATAAAATCGATATCGATCGATACGAAAAGTAGCCTATGACACCCGCCGGGGCCCGAAGTGTATGTGTGCTAAGTTTGGTCCGGATCGGTTCAAAAATGGAATTTTCTATTCGGAACATACGTACACACAGACAGACATACAGACAGACAGACAGACAGACATACAAACAGACATTCAGCTTTATATATAAGATACGATTACAAATGCGCTTCGTTTCATCCACAATACTCTTTATACAAAAACCTAGGCAATAACATTTACAGATGATCTTGTTTTGTCCGCAGCGCAGTACAGAAAATACGTCGTTCAATCTTCTTTATTTGTGAGCTATCATTGGGTAGACCGCACAGATGGGAAAGTCTTTTCTGGATGAACTTCGGGATGATCTGTTCACGCAAACAGCGGCGATGGAAGTGGAGGGTCTGCCTTTCCGAGACATCTTCTGCCTCAAGAAAAGCGCTTTTTTGCAAGGCGGAAGGAGTCAGCTGGGACTTCCTTCATTATTGTCCAAATTTAAATGTCATTTGCACTCATAGTGAAGTTGCTTGTTTGTGGCTTGTTCGTAGATCGGGATTGATATATCTTTATTAACTAAGTTTCGGCTATATCGCCTTCTCCAGAGTCTGAAATTGTCGAATGCACAGGTAACCTATCCTATCAAAAACCAACGCAATGCTCAGAAAGACGCCCGATGCGTTAGTAAAACAGGTCAAAAGTGTATGCAAGATTAAACCAGTGCTTACCTAGACCTGTTTTTTTTTGCACTCTTTTGAAAAGTGACAAGTTGTACATTGTTGGATTTTTGTCCTTCCTTACCCATCGCTGCAAGTTGCCAAAAACGTCTCCATGTCCTGATCTTCCATATCTCTCCAATGACTATCGCCTAGTGATGTAGCGGAACCTGAAATCTGTTAAGGTTGTTCAGGCATGAGTTTTCACGGAAAATGCTCCAGGCATCGTGCGCTTGGGGTGTGCAATCTCATCTATTGCGTTGTAAATTACGGCTAGTAAAATGCGCATGATGATGTCTTGATGTTTGCGATGTTTTGACTAAAGCTGTTTTTTATTTCCGTTGTCTTTTAGATGTTTTGGGGTCTAGTGCTGTTTCTGGTGAACACGTACTTTCTAATTTTTGCTTATATTGCAGGATTCGACATGCCTAAAAAATTCGCCAACGAAAATCCAAAGGTTATAGCTGCCCGAGAACGTAAAGCCGAAAAGAAGAAAGACGAGCAGGAGCGAAAACAAAAGGTTTTGTTGGTCAACCATCTTTTAATACCTTCAATTGGTTTTTTAGGCCGCTGAAGACGCATATTGGGCTGATGATGATAAACTGGTACATAGAAAGCAGCAGCGTAAGGTTAGTAGACACATTTGGTCTACCCTCTAGTCTTCGATACTTCTTGAAGGAAGAAGAAGAAAAGAAACGGTTGGAAGCTTTGAAACGAAAAGAGGAGAACCGAAGGCTTGCTGAAGCTGAAATGGAACGACTTGCCTCTAACACAGGAGCGTCTCATCCGCAAAAAGTTACAAGGTAATGTTGCATTTTGTTCTGAAGCCACTCTCATGACGACCATTCTTTTAGAGCAGAGCTTGAGCAGCGCAAAGAGGCTGAAGCTCGTTTGCGGTTAGAAGAGGAGAGGAAGATGAAGTTAGCTGCCGAGAAACTTGAGGTACACATACACTCGAGATTTCTGTTCATTTCCTTCTCTTGCTGTTTTTGTCTTTTGATATTCTCAGGCAGCGATTATGCTATCTTGCTATCTAGTAAGAGGGCTTAATTTGCTAACCCTGGTTTTTTTTTCTGGGGCATTCTGAGATTACAGCTATCAGAGACAGGGATCATCTAATTACTTGGTCTTTGCGCTTGATGAACCGCTTTTCCATATTACCCTATTTTCAGGTGTATAAGCCGCACTTTTTCAAATTTTCGCCCGGGCTGCTCAGCCGCTTCATTGTGTTTCGAGAAGCGATCCTTATGCCGCACGATTCTTTCAGGCAATACGTATCACGGTAAAGGGTCCTTTGGATGCGAGGTCCATTAATGTGTTCGGGCTGCTCGATGTAAGCTAGGACCACCCCGCGGCTTATACACCTGAAAATAGGGTACCAATATTGAAAAGGAACCTGGGAATAGTTCAAACGCGTTTTTGAACCATCAGTATAATTTTTGCTGGCAGTCCATTTTTGGAGTGTTAGCAAACGTAACTGCTAGTGTTATTCTACCCGAGAACATTCATGCTTTTTCCTTGACATTCCGTTAATTTCAAGTTTCTCAGAATGAGACTTACATATACTTTCTCAGGTCGTTGAAGATATAGAGGAGAACGTCAATCAGCTGGAGGTTGACGGAGAAACTGCCACAACGGTTTCCGAAGCAATCCAGATACTTGGAGGTACAACTGAAGAAGTTGACAGGCACCCAGAGAAGCGAATGCGAGCAGCTTACCTTGTGGGTCTCTTAAAATTTTGTTTTCTCGTTGATTTCGTTTTGGCTGTCTAATTCATCTCTTTCTTGTTCTATCCAGTTTTGTGGCCTTTGGATCGTTGTTTTTCAATTTTTAAAGCGTAAGCGTTTTCAGGCTTTCGAAGAAGCCAACCTACCACGAATGAAACAAGAGCATCCCACTTATCGTTTGTCTCAACTAAAACAACTTCTCAAAAAAGAGTGGCAGAAGTCTCCTGAAAATCCTCTAATAGCTAAGCTTATGGCTCTCTCCGCCAAATAACTTGCTCTACATCTTGGTAGATTTTCATTTGTAACATACTTTCCATGTGCTTTCAATGCGGGAATTTTGCTGATTTGGGAAGCATCAAAGGCGCCATCTCGGTGTTTTGTATTTGCAGAATGATTATTGGGTGATTATGATCGCTTTTGTGATTGTACCTTCCGTAACTGGAAGATGTGTTGTATTGATAAACATTTATCCAGTTTCTCATCATCTACCCTCCGTTGTACTCACATTACCGAGCGAGATTTAGCATAAGCCTGGTGTTTCTAAAGCGTTGTTTCTAGATGGTAAAGATCTATTTCGGCAGGGAGTTGTCAACTTACACATTGGAGGAGTTGAATACGCTTACGCCGCGAGATGTCATCAGTAAAATAGTTCCAAAAGATCAAGAAGATCGTTCTGGTACGTGTCATGCGTTGTATTTCCTTTCTTTTTATCGTTTTCATCGGAATCAAAACTGCAGCTCAAAGGCAGCGTCCAGGCAAGTCTGCACACATGGGGATCTCACGTGGATAGTAATTTTGGGGCCCTAACTAAGCCACTGCCCGACCGGCAGCTCAGGTAGTGCTCTAACGGCTGAGATATTCCCCTCGAAACTGGACCCCGCGATCGTATTTCGCATGGACTCATGGCGCAAGGCGTGAATCCTGGCGCGAAACTCCCATGAATCCATGCGAATACGATCGCGGGGTCCAGTTTCGAGGGGAATACCTCAACCATTAGTGCACTACCTGCGCTGTCGCTTGGGCAGTGCCTTAGTTAGGGCCCCAAAAGTACTTTCCACGTGAAATCCCCATAGCTCCAGATCTGCCTGGACGTTGCCTTTAAGTTCCTTTCGTAAGAACAGTTCTTTTTTCATTTTGCTCGAAAAAGTGAGCGTTTCAGTTGGAGCCCTACTAAGCATCTTTTAGTACTTTCCTACACTGGTCGGTTCTTGAAGCCAGATGAGCCTCTTAGTACGCACAACATTCGCGAAAACGATATTCTGAGAATTTTACAAAATGATGGAGAGACCCCAGTGAACAAGGTACAGTGAACAGTACCTATATTCTCGTTTCATTCCTTGGAATGTTCAGCCATGTGATAATGGAATGCTTCGCGAATGTGATCGTCTTTTTGACTATGTACAGAAAGAGGAATCGGGCTATGTAAGCGCATTCTTATTTGTGGTTCCCTAAGCAAAGCTAGATTACAGATGCACTTGCGTTTGATCGCTGATGTTACCACAACCGATTACTTGAAGAATCTCATGGAAAAGTTCCCCGAACTACGTCAAGATCCTATTGCTTGTCACATACTCAACGATTACTACCTCCTCAAAGCTATGGTTACATTACCTAGTGATGAAGAAGCACTGGAAAAGGTAAGTGTACACATAAAAGTTGGTGTGATGCACATTGCTGTTTAGTTACGACAATTCCATGCTCAGCATCCTGCTTTATTACCAGCTATCAATTGGTTGTTGAAGAAGAACGCGCAGAAAGGAAGGGGATCGTCTCAAGTAGGCAGATTACATGCTGTGGGTTATTGCAACAATGATTGAGATGTCACAATCTCTTCATATTTGATCACAATGCGGCTTACCCTTAAGTTTCTAACATTTCTCTCCAACACAACTTTAGAGTAGAAGTGCTTATTGCCTGAAATCAGTTGATTAGTAGAGTAGGTCACATCAACTGTGGCATCTTGATCATAGCTCAGAACTCTGTAAGTTCTTCTCTGTATAGTTAGTATTTGGTTGTGAGCTCTTTTTAGATATGAGCCATAACTTATCAGTTCCATCCTCCCTTTTGCAGCGAACACCAAGAGGAGTTCACCAAGACGAATCTCCTTCCCCTGCTGAACCACCGCAGATCACACAAGAAATGCTCAGACAGGTGAATGTTGCGTTCTGTAACCATGAAACATATTCTATTCCTTGTTCTTAGCATAATACATTCATGAAATCGTGACATTGATTGCGTGTGTCGCGTTCGCATTTTCAGTAGCTACATTGTTTCAGTTTTTAGGTCAAGTCGTTTTTTGCATGCATGTGATAGCTCTTAATGTTAGACACTCAGAGTCTTAGAAATGAGAGAAGTGATATCTTTTGTTTACTTGTTTCACCCTGTGACGTCTGGGTGGGCGCAAAGACCGCAGTAACTTCGTCGACACTTTCTTAGGCCCTATACTATACGAAAAATAAGCGCATGCTTTCAGGCCATGGCGTTGGCTTTTGGCGGTGCGATACCCGGCGGATCCGGCCGCAGTGGCACTAGCACCACATCTCATCCGGCGTCATCAGTTCACACTCCCCCGCCTGCACCAATTCCTGTGCCTCCCGCTACTCCAGAACCATCCGCTCCGGGCCCTTCGGATCATATCTTGCAGTTGCGTTCGCGTTTCGCTTCGCAACTGACGCAGTTGAACGAGTTCGGCTTTACCGATGAGGCAGCAAATTTATCCGTGCTCGAGTCGGCTGACGGAAATGTGGAGGTAGCATTAGATCTACTAATTGCTATGAGGGAAGAAGGCATGTGAGAGCTTTTCACTGTACTTGATATTCCATCTCTAACCACTTTTATATGTACAAATGTAAGTGTAATTCGGTTTTGCATGTACACAAATTTCTGTGAGATGAAAGTTTCCTTTGCTTTCCAATATTCAGCCTCTTAATTTTTTGTATTAAAAAGAAATTCACAGTGATCAGGTTTTGTCAGGACTATACATACACTTCAGAATTATAGTTAGTAACTTGTGCATTTGTGGGCATTTTACGTGGTTTTAGGTTTTCTTTTATCCTAGGGATTCGTAAATAAAATCTTCGATGAGAGATATGATGTGTTGCAGCATCTCTAGACATGCACAAACTGTTTTATTAGGTCGTTTTTAAGTCCGTAGCGTGTTGGTTGGCAAAATACTTGTACCATTCGGAAGAGCCAATACCGCTCTGAAAGACCCACTTAATTAACTACTTAACGTCATTTGAGCGGCAAAAATTGGCGTTTTCCACGCTAGCACTTTCCGCATTGGGTTATCCCACAAGGTTTTCTTTTTCTTTGCATGAATTGTCGGAGTGGATAGTATAGTTAGCACCGAATAATCGTGTTCGAATAATTTATTCGAAATATTCGACTATTCAAATATTTGAATAAATTATTCGAATAATTATTAATAATTAATATTAATATTTATATTATCAATGATTAATAATTATTTAATTATTTGAATATTTGAGAAGGTCCATTTATTCGATTATTCGAATAGTCGAATAAATGAAAAAGACCTATATTAGAATAATTCGTTCATTCGGCGATTTAGAAAAATGACTTATTCGAATATTCGTTCATTCGAGTAGTTTTAAAAGATGGTTGTTCGAATATTCGAATATTTGAATACTGCATTCAAATATTCGAATAATATTGGAACATTTATTCGAAATTAACCGATCAAATTATTCGATCAAGTTCGGTTATTCAAGTATTCGTTCATTCGAATTTTGAAATGTGCCAATAATCGAATGTTCAAATTCGAATAAAATGAAAAACGAAATTCGAATAGTATTCGTTCATTCGAAGAATTTTCGAAAATCAAATATTCGATATTCATTCGTTCGAAAAATTTTCGAAAATTAATTATTCAATATATTCATTCGGGGGACAAGTGGCGTAGTGGTATGAGGCGCCGCTATGACCAGATCGGACACAGGTTCGATCCCCGCCCCTGGGCAAACCAAGCCCTCTACCCTCCGGGGCCGGTAAATTGGTACCAGAGTAATCTGGGAGGATAAAAGCACTGATTTGAATACGGCTGGCCCCCGCAAGTCACTGTAATAGGCCCGCACGCATACAATTGCCTCCTCGACTATGAAGTTAGTGTGTGCGTTCGGCGCATGCCCTAGAGGGTATTGAAGACGCCGAATCCTTTATCCTTTATTATTATTAATATATTCATTCATTCGGAAGATTTATATTCGTTCATTCGGCGAAAATTTCTGTTCGTCACAACTATAGTGGACTAGCTGGCATACCCGGCTCCGCTGTATGTTCCGAATAGAAAATTCCATTTCTCAACCGATCCGAACCAAACTTGGCACACATACACTTCGGGCCCCGGCGGGTGTCACAGTCCACTTTTCGTTATCGATTGATGCCGATTTTATCGATTTTATCGAGCATGCTGATCACCCCCGTGGAGGTGATCAGCATGCTCGATTACACCCCTGTGCCAACTCCCAGCCCCGTAGCTCAAATTTTGCAAAAAATCGATAAAATCGACATCGATCGATAACGAAAAGTGGACTGTGACACCCGTCGGGGCCCGAAGGGTATGTGTGCCAAGTTTGGTCCGGATCGGTTCAGAAATGGAATTTTCTATTCGGAACATACGTACACACAGACATACAGACAGACAGACAGACATACATACATACAAACAGACATTCAGCTTTATATATAAGATAGTACCAAACTGTGCTGACGTAATGGTGTCACGAACATATGCTTGAAGCTCCAAATTGCCTCCCCCATTCCCCCCCCCCCCTTCTCCCCAATTTCTCTTCACTCAAAATTTCCATTATGAATCTTCCTGAACTACTAATTTTGTCTTGAGAATATCCAGCCAACATTGAACTAACGATTTTGAAGTTTGTCAAATTCTTTGCAGAATATTCTTTCTTGGAAGCGTGCACAACTCCTCTTCAAAAAACTTTATGGCAAAATTTTCCGTTTCCGTTTTTTATATGAGGTTTTGACAAAATGCGCTGAAAACTTGCAACTACATAGTCTGGGATTAGCAAGCTGAGCTGATGGCAAGTGAAGCCCTTCCATTATCTTGTCTCTTATATGCACCTGATATAGTACCGTGGAAGGAACTCACTGCGGTGGTTGAAGTTTTCAAGAAGAACTATTTTGCTTTTTCTGAGAAAAATCCGAAATTCTGAGATGAAGTCTTTTCTTAGAACTTACAGTTGTAGCTAAGAAAGGTTTCCGCATCCAGTGTGGAGTTTCAAAGCTAGAGCTTGGCACAGGTGGCTTGCAAGCAAGCTGGATATCGTTTTTGGGACGAAAAGCAAAGGAGTATCGTTTTTGAAGGGGAAAAGACGCAACGTTTTTTTTAATCGACGTTCCGTTTTTGAGGGTTTTTATGTTTAGAGTTCAGGGTCAAAGCGGACTGACTTTACTTTGTGCATTTTCCAAAAGCCATCTCGTGCCTAGCCCTGTTAAAAAGATGTTTTTATATTAGGTCGTTCCGAAAATAATGTCGCTTATTTCAAATGAACGCCACATTTCATGGAATCAAGATTTTCAAAAGATTTTAGGAGCATTCAATGCAGCATTCCATCCACTTTTTAATGTTTGTAATATCGTTGCATAATATTCAATGAGCTCTGGAAAAATTACCAAAATCTGCGACCCATGCTTTTTGCTATGGTCAAGTTCGGCTATTTTTCTAGATCTTTGTACCTGTTCTCCGAAGAAGTACAAGTGACTAATAGATAGGGCAAACCCTATTGGACATAGAGTAATTTTTTCTTTTCCTTAGCTTGCTTCTTAGAGTTTCTGGCATCAACTTTTCAATGCTATTAAATCCCATATTTGGTCAACTCAAACCTCACAGGACAACAACCGGCAAGCAGTTCGGGTGTCATTCGACGCTGCTTTTTCTCCTCTTTTTACCTGTTGTTTTTTGTTTCTGATTCATCAAGATTTCCGGGATAAAATCACCATAATTCAGGTTTTCCAGGGCGCCCCGGCTGTACCCGGAATTTTCGAAAGTTGCTAATCTGAAGCGGAGAATGCTCATTTGGCTTGTAAAATTAGTGTCAAACAATAATCCATCTTTGTAAGTTTCAAAATCCGAAGATTTATTGATGTTTGTTGCATTTGTGTCTGAAACGAGCCTGCTAAAATTCGGTGGTTCCATCAAAAAATCTATATAAAAATTATAACGAGCTCTAGAGAGTAGAAAAAAGTTGTGCTGTTTCCTGTAGGGTTTGCTCTATCCATCCACTACTTGGGCTCCTTCCGAGGTTTGTAATAAGAATTTAGAAAAATTGTGAAAATTGGCTTTCTTAAAAAGCATGAGTCGTAGATTTTGATGAATTTTCGAGAGATTATTGAATTTTTTGCAGTGATTATAAAACCATTAGAAAGAGAATGAAATGCTGCATCAAATGCTTCCAGAATCGCTTACATATCTTTGTTTCACGAGATGTGGCGGACGTTTGAAAAAAGCGACATTACTTTCGGAACGACCCAATAACTTGGTGGATAACTACCTGAAAAGTTCAGACACTGTTGCGATGTGAACTGGGTAGAGTCAGATTTCCAAAATCATCAGATCTTACAGCTACCCAATTAAGGAGTCAAATGTTCAGTCAATTACTTATGGTGCTTAATTCGATATCATTGTAAACATTACCGAGAACGCCAAGTTGGTGCCAAACATGATGACGTCATAGGTTGCACTAGGCTACTGTGTCGAATCGTAAGGCTAAACATTATGGATGCGGGCCAAAGTGCAAAAATCAAGACAAAGATATGGACAAACATCCATCGCCGGTTGTTGACGTCAGATGGGCTCGCCTGCGCTTTATTATAGAGCATGATGATAGTTCCGTAAACAGTTGCTGCTCATCATTTATATTATCCTTGGATGGGCAATTCCCACTGATAATCTCCGTATATGGCGCCAAGCAGGTATCGAAATGGAAATAATGATTGACTTCCAAGAAACTTTGCTCTAAAAAATTATAAAACAAATGTCGTTAGTATTGGTCTAAAACGCGGATCAAGTGAACGTTACGGTGAAGTGCGAATTTCATATTTGAGATCAGCGATTCCGATTAACCCAATATGGGAGTTTTCAATTTTTAGTCAGGTGTAAAATGTGACCCTCAATCACGCAAAACCCTACTCAAGGTTCCTGTCATAATCTTACATTAATGAAGAGAGAGTGGTAATTCGCTTCAGCGTAAATATAAGCTGAATGCAGCTCCACAAAATGGTACCTAAGGCATATTGAAAGATTTCATGTCAAGAGGGTTGTTTATAATCCAACGGTAGGCACACTTTTTGGGACGCCCTGTATAATGCAATGGAAGAAGTGAATAGAGGTTGTTTGATTCTGAATAATTGTTCAAATATGACAGATTTCAAAATCACCGATCAAATTGTCCGGACTTTTTACCTTTTTTCTATAGACTGAAACCGCAATTTCTACCGAAAGTTGCGTAAATTTATTGTTGGGACATGCAAAGAATATTTATTCAATTAATTTGGTGAATTTATTTTGATATTTGCCATCTTCCTTCCAATCAATTGCCAACACGCCTGGATCAGGGCTCGGCACAGGTGGCTTACGGGAGCTGGATATCGTTTTGAAATGAAAACCAAAGGGAATCGTTTGAGCGGAAACCCCAGCCCCCCCCCCCCTTCCACACACCACAGTTCTGCCCTTATGTCACCCACCTTCTACAGAAGACGCAAATTGTCATTTCTGCCTTATCGATCTGCAAAAACCAAAAAATTTTTGTTTCAACATGTTCGCCGGTTAAGCGCGCGAATTCAAACCTGCCTCTAAACAAAAGACTTGTTTACAGCAAAGAGAAAATGAAATGACACCAAAATTGGTGTGTAGCTGGGCAACAGGGAGTTAGGACTATGTGCAAAAAAATTATGAAAAAATTATGTGAACTACGGGCGTGGCAAACTTTTTTCGGAGACGGTGGCTTTCCAGCCACCTGGACAGCCACCTGAGGTGGCTGTAAAAGAAAAAGTCATATATTTTCCTTCCTTCACATAATTTTCTCACATGTTTAACATAAACTTGTTCTACATCAAAAACCCCACAACTGAGTTTTTGAATCTCTCTAAACCCCCTCTTCCTCACCTAGTTACAGCCCTCCAAATATTTTGTATGGCGGCGGCAAGCCTGCTACAAACGCGCAAGGGTGCGCGCCGGACACAGCATGTCGCCATTGAGCATACGAACATCTTCTTTTTTTTTCGTCTATTCGATGTTTAATGTTTTGTTCCATTATTTTTCGTTATTTGTTTTGATCCATTCATAATCGCGCATAGTTGATGTCGTATTTTTGTGCCGAAATCTACAGGGACTTCGTTTTAGAAAAATTGAAAAAGCCAACTCATGCCGAGCCCTGGCCTGGATATTGGCAATTTCAAACATACCTCCCCTTAACTTTGAGAAGCTCAAAGGAAAAAATGAGTTCGAGCTTGACTTATGTGAAATGTGTCGGTCCCTTGCCTCTCTCCTCAATCTTTCATTGCTTTCGCTTATGCATAAGCACACTAAAGCTTTGCTGCTATGTCATTTCGTTTTTTCTTTCTGAGACGCAGCTGCATGAAGCTATCGGGCACCTTCTCTAGCCTTTCAAAGCTAGCAATTAACGAAATGCTTTCCATATGCTTGTGCTGCTTATGCCAAATTTAGTAGCGTTTTTCGTATGCAGAGCAAAGAACGCTGAACACGCTGTATTTTATGCTTGTCATGGGAAAAAAACAGTCAGTCATTTTGAAAAGGGGTTCGTTACATCTCATCAGCGTGCAGTAAATTAACTTAGGGCTTTGCTCTTTTGATTTTCGATTTTTTGGGAGAGAGGAATGAATAACTTCTTACGTGTGATGATTTTATGGTTTAGTTGCCATGACCACGATTTTTATGAAGGAAATGAAAGCTAGCTTGGATGTGCTTCCGTCGACTTTTATTCTGGGCTTTAATTTAACAGATGAGCAACTTCTGGAAAGTGATTGCGTTATTTTATTTCGAGTAAAAAAAACCTTAGCGCATTGATTCGGATTATAATACGAATTTTTACGATTCCGACTGTGACGAGTTTAACTGATTAGTTTGCAGAAATTTTTCGGACTACAGTGGATCTGACACCCCCTATGAAAAAAGATGAATTGCGGGCACCTAGAAACAAATGAGTAAATTTGAGAAAACCCGTTTCTTCGCCGTTTGTCCGATCTAACAGATAAGTATGATAATTAATTAATCAATAACGAATAATGATTAGTCAAGACGCAAATACCAAACGATGCACAACCTTAACAAGCCGGGTAAGAACGACTAGCCAACCTCCCACCTTGATTTCATGGTCCTAACTAGAAGAGATATCGAAGTTTGTAACTTTAGCTACGGCAAATTTTGAATAGGAATTTCAAATCCTTTAAATCTCAGAAATCAAAAATACCAGTTTTTCTGCTGCCTTACCTTGTAATTTCACCTACGGGAAAAATTACAATTGCGTTAATTGCAGTAATGTCCATAATCTTGTGCACATTAGTTCAATTGGTTCGTCATCGTATATTTAGAAGTATTATTCAATTTACCACTTCTTATTTATACATATATGTTATATTCATTAAATTAGACATTGTATTTGGAGCGCGGTAACAATCGCGGAATAATTTCAGTTACCTCAAAACCAACTCCTCGCATTGGGACCAGACGCCCATTCTCAAGTTCTGGTAAATGCAAATTGTTTTTATTGATTACTTTTGCAGATTTTCCTTGGTTTGTCCTTATGGTTTCAGCTTTTTTCTTCTGACAAGCTTGGATTTTTTGCGATAGAACGATTGATTCCCTTCTGCATCAACAACAATGTTGAAAGATTTTGTTTTCGACAAATGCTTTAATCAACACCACTTCGATTTACTTCCCAAAATAAAACAGAAAATCCTTGAGAGAGAAAAGAAGAAGCTTTGCTCTAATGTCACAGTCTAATCATATCACAAAAGCCAGTACCGTAATGCTACCGTAATTTCTGCCAATGTAGGAACGTGTTCCAATAAAGGTGCAACATGTTTATACAACTCAAAACGTATAGATGATCTCTGTCTTACTCACTCTCCCCCCTAAAAATCTCAGCCCGTGTCTCGATTCGACGCCAAAAATTGGTCGTGCGTGGATTTTACTTTGGGATATGGTTGAGCCCGCCTTCGGTTGCCCAGTGATAGTATGGTGCGCCTGGTGAATAGCAAGTGTTGTCTTGGAGAACCTGGAAAATTTCCCTCATGCACTGATTATGCTTCGAAAAATCGATATATCGATTACCCTATCGCCATCAACCCAGTACATCATGTAGTAATTGCACATCTCATCAGCTCCAGTCTGTCCCATTGGGATATTGCGGTTCTCGTCGTTCTTCATAAGGCATCTACAAAATGAGCGTTAATTCTAATTCTACTATGCTGTAGGGTACTGTAGGTATACGGTAATGTAACGTTAACATACCTTGCAGCAATCATTTGTCCCTGGCTAACAGTCAAAGTCTTGTTGTGAACTGGTGCGAAAATTTGTGGCAGTTGTGGATTGCGTCGTCCAATGAGATACCAGTGGTCTTGGCCATTCTCGTCCTAGAAATATTTTGATTTGATTTCTATTTTTTTGTAAATTTTTGGAAAAGCATTTGTAAAATAAATTTGAATTCCATTTCTAATTGTTGATTTTTTTAGGGAAAACAATCGACGATAGCTCAAACATCTCTGACTATATATCGCTAGAAATGATTTTTTTTCAGGAATCAAAGTGGGTTTTTGCGCCTTCCTAGCTGATTTGCACAAGCTTGCCATCTTTCAAGGAAATGTGGTCATCTGATTCCGAGATCATGTGGAGATTGTATGTCCTAGTAAATTGATGCCTAAGTAGCAGTTATCATGGTTCATTTCTGACCAGGATGATTTTCTAAACTCTCACCCACCACCGTGTTCTCTTCGGCCAATACAGTACTGGGCAAAATTTAAAGTTATTTTAGCCGTAAACTGTCATAAGAGCTGCCATTTGGACTAGGCTCAGCTAAGTTCTTATAATCATTTATGAGAAGTTCAAATACTCATATTCACTCCCTAAAAATAAGCCCCGATTTGTGTCAGCTCACCTCATCAACAAGCCATCCACTGGTGTCATAACCGTGGTCGTGTGCATGAGTACGGAACGCGAACGGATGAATCGTCACATCCTCCTCAATCACGCAAGCTGTCTCAAACGATTCTGAAACAGAAGTTTGAGGAATTTGGAGACCGGATTCAAGAATAACCATAAGAATAGTCCCCTATTCATTTCGGTTCAAAGAAGTTTTTCTTTGTACCTGTGAAGATTTGTTTCAACGAACAACTTAATCGTTTCCCTGACTTTTTTCCATTTTTTTGCAACAGCGATTACCACAACTTAGAACATCACACAACACAAACAAACAGTGCAGGGAATTGTTTTTAATACCGTATTTGTTGAGTGCCCAATAAGCGAGCAGCTGTGCGAAAGTGGGATGCGATTAAATTTTTCATGCGTGCATACATGAGAACTCAACACCTGTAGTGAATTCATTCATAGAATAAATTATGAACTTCCTCGAATGCTTTGCCACGAACAACCGCGCTCTAGCAGATTTCCTAGGAACTAAGAAAGAAGTCTCATCTCTTTTTTTATTGTTAGGTTATTTTCAACATTTGCATGCACCACATTCATTAGTTAAAAATTTTGTGACAAACAAGGAAGAGCTAACGCGACTGCGACACAGTTCCGTACAACTCGTTTTCTTCTTCTGCAGTATTCTTGCTAACTGAGTTTTATAAAAAGGGAGCAGAAAGCAATATTGTTCTAATCTAAGAAAATATGCGTATAACGATTATCGAGAAGTAGAATTTTCTGAGAAATTCAAAATCACCATAATGATGTGCAAGATCTGCAAAAGTCCCGCTGAGTATCTAGGGCGTTCGAAAAATCGTGACAGCGGCGCGACCGCGCGCGACAAGCACGCACTTTCGACCGCATTTTCTTGGTTTCATTTCTACTTGAATGGTTTTTGTGCTTATGTATGATAGTATTTAGACACTGGAAGTGATTGAGCTGAGCGTTGTGGTGGTGCCTTTTTAAGTGTTTATGCTTAAGTGGGCGTAAAGACTGCGGTCAAATCCGTCGTCGCGATTTCAAAAATGACCTATGCACAGTATTCTGCTGTAATTTTTGTCTTATTGTTAGTAAAATGTTAATCGCCAAAATAATTACATGCTTTGATGTTTTTGAAGACGCTCCTAGTCTCTAGTGGTGACATAGCGTTTAGAGTCCCGTGCCAATGCTGTGCCAGTCGCTCACGTGGGTGCGCCACGTATTGGTCGACATTGCACGCGTCACAGCGCTGGCTCGAGCAACTACGCAACCTTGGGACCCATGATAAGAGGCCTGGGGAGCAATTTGCCCACAAGCTGCTCTTGGCGATTTTTAGGCCTTGCTGTCGACAGTAAGCAGAATGACTACCTACCATAAGATTTTGCTGGTAGAACACCTCCGGTAACCATAAGCATGGTGGCTGCGGTCTTAGGTTGAGGTGTGGTGGTATGAGTGATGGTAACACCACTGTGATCTGGTAGCTCGTTGTCTCTGTTGTAGTGGAGCTAAAAGGTAAGCAATTTCTCTTGATCAGTGGAAAGAGAATTGAAGCTCTCACCTGCATGACTAGATAGTTGATACCAGATCGTCCGCCAACCTTGAAGCCAACACCTACAACGATGGGTTACGGTAGCAAATTGTATCGATCGACATATTGATTGGAAAGCTCACCCTCAGGAAGTTTGAGCTCAGTTGCCGAGTGCGCCCAAGCGTAGAGAATGGCAGGATTTGATTTGCAAGTGGGATAACGCTTCATTCCATCAGCTAGATGGGTCATCTCACCGCAGTCCCTGCAAGACCAACAAATTAGTAATGGTAAAATAAACAAGTGTCTGGTTAGACGACCCTTACCAAACTGGCTCATCACTTCCAGGTTCTTCACAACCAAACAACAGAATATGATGTGCATTCTTCTCTCCAACCTGAGGCTTGTACCCAACTAAACGAATAAATATTTTCTCTGAATACGATGAAGAGGAAATAAAAATCAATGCTTACTGAGATAGTGTTCCGTCTCGGGGTCGAGCGGCATCGACGTACAAACATAGGTCTCTTTCTGAAATCATTATCAAAGATTAATTTCTGGAAAAGAGTTAGTTTGCAGGGTTTTTTCAGAAACTATAGGGAAGCTGCGCTTGTTGTTCTACTAAAATTAATTGGAATAGCTGCGATAGGAAGCTTATTTAACAACGAAGTCTGGTTTTCGGTCTCTAACTATGCTTTTTTTACAAGTATTAGTTGTAATCTCACTGTTCTTCTGCATGCAGCACAAACCTTCTAGATTACAGTAAAGGAGGCATACAGTATGCTAAACTCTGATTGGCTGCACTGAACGCGGCACTGTAGACTACCGTAACGCTTTACCCGCTTCAACCGATATAGAATTGCATATTTATCAAAAGCGTGGAAAATCCTTTAAGTGATAGTCGCTTATGTTAAGCGTAAAATATCCTTTGGCCGCCTCATACACGCAGTTCTTTTGCGTCATGCAACATTTAAGCTAATTGTAAGCAATTTTTATTTATTTCCACAAGTATTTGTAACCCATAAAAATCCATGTTTCAGGGAGTAAGTGAGTGTTCTTTTTCAGCAATCCTTCCTGAATCCCCTTAGCTGCGCCTAGTCAAGGAATATAAAAAAATTTTTTTTTGTGAGGGAAGCTAACATGCAACTTTCTCACATCGCCATGTTGTCGTCAGAGTTAATGACGTAGGTACTTGCGATGATTGGCTGGATATACAAGAAATGTATACAAGATTGAATTTTTTGGAAATTGATTGTCAACGAAGCAATTTTTTTTACCTGCGCAAATTTCGGCAAGCGATAAAGGTGACCTCTACCGCATGCCGAATTTTTCAAAAACTCTCAATTCTGGCTTGGGCTGCGCAAAATAAATCATCCAGGTTTTACTGTAGTTCTGCCCTAGATTAGTGAGAAAATTCTAGAAAATTCAAGAAAACTCCTAAAACCACATTCATTACTGGATAGGTCTATTCCTTAGCCCCACGAATCCGGATCCCCATAGTGGTCAGTCAATTAGCGACGCATTTGAATACGAGTCAAAAGGACATGCGTAGTGCGCATACTCTGACTCCTTTCCGTCAAGCGCACTTTTACCGCACTCATTGCCTACAGCCTTCAATGGATATGGGATGTAAATATGAGATGTTCCAGCAATAACATTTTATTACTGCGTACCACGATCTCATATTCGCCCATAAAAAGTTGCGGCGGCAGAGTTTGATGCCCATGACTTGCTTAAGTGTGTTATTTCTACCACGACTCAAAGGCATCATAGCCGCTTCGCTGCTATCAACTCGTTTTTGACAAGCATAGTCGATACGCAGATGCGTATCGATTGCATTTCTCTTGCCAAAACGCGTCAAGGGGAACTGGCCCGATGGGCGGGCATACCACTTGGGGGCGTGAGCGCCTCTGCGTACGGTTCTTTTTCTTCCCAGAAATGGCTGTGGTGCAGTGGTTTGAGTGGGTGGCCCATGACCGGTCTCGCTACCGACAGTTCAAGGTATGCGATGCCCTCAAAGGTGCTTGCATCGTGGGGGTACAGAGAGGAGGGGTGGGGAGGAGTGGAGGGGGGGGGGGAGGAGGGTGGTAAATCGTTTTGTATTTTTCAGCTATCTTAAATTGGGCTAGCATATTTCTTTCTCATTACACTTTTTTTTCGAGTTCACGAAGCTTCTACGCACATTCCATAACAAGTACAAGTTTTGTGCTATGTAATGAATTTCATTAAGAAGTCCCCGCCATAAAATATTCTGACAAGTAAGCTCGTTAGCTTGTCAACAGTGCCTGAAGCGCTCAAAAGGGCTCGCCGCAGCCTCGGGAAATGACGTTAACGGGCGCGGGAGCAAAAAACTGCTCAACTGCACATATTGATCAGCGGGGCGCAGATGCGAGCGGGGGCCCCATACCCCCCCTTCCGGATGACGTGCATCGATTCCCGGAGCTCTCGGAGTCGACGCCATCCGAAGCACAGAACACCCAACTCCAGAGCACGAACGCGCACGCACTGCGAATACCGCTCGCGGGCGCCTGCACTTTTTTGGGGTTACCGTAGTCCTGTGATAGCGCGGACTTCGCACTTCATATGAAGCTAGTAAATAATTAAATGAGGCAATCCCGCGTAATGAATGCGATGGCAACAGCTGCAGTCGTAAAAATAAATGCGAAAAAATTAAAGAGATTACTTGCTTCATACGAAGTTGGCACACCTGGTAATCAAATATACTCAATGTAACATTTTTTCCAGAACAAATATTGATTCCCATTGGAAGATAATCTTTTTAAAATTCTCAGTTTTTGCTAGGATATAGATCTTAGGGTTCGCCCCGTAATCTTGACCTATTACTTACATGCTTGAGCATGAACATCAAAGTCATGGGAGTTATTTATGCTTCCACGGCTCGGCTGACGCAAATCATACGCAATCTTCGACCTTTCCGTTTCTTCAGAATAGTCTGTAATCTCCCACGTCTTACCCTCAATGAAATATTTGACTATAAAGGTTTAATAGTTACGAAAAAAGTCGATTTAGGTGTCCCAGCGCGCACGGCACAAGAAACTTTTTCGAGCTTTCCTTATTTGTCGCTGGATAATTGAGCTCATGGTAGCTGGAAATGACAGAAAACGGCGAAGCAAAGAAAAAAGAATAGCTACAGGAAGGAAATCTCGGAGGCCATAGTGGAACGGAACGAAAGGGTCCAGTCAATCCTCTGTAGAAAGTCCTTCACTCATTTTTTACTTTCTTCAAGGGCACAGGCGCTCTTTCTGAAGTTAACCGAGCTGTGAAGTTTATTTGTGCGACTACGACTGAGTAAAATGCAAAGCTTCAAATGCATTCATTTTTTTTCAAAATTTTTTTGATAAATATTAGTCTAAGTACCCGTATCCTGGCACAGTAAGATGATATCACCTAGCCAAACATCTAAGAAATGCACTTGTTGACTTCAGAGTATAAATCGTGATCATTCAAAGAATTCCATGAAACACTGGAGAAACCATCCAGTAAGCCTCACAAAGCCGATAAAAAAATGAGTCCGCTTCTGAGCAAGTAACTATCCTTTACAAGCATTTCTCACACAATAATAATGACGACATTCATATTTTCTGCGCCGAAATGTTGGATTACTGTAGCTCCAAAGATTAATCACCGAAATCCATTAGCATAAATTGAGAGGAGGACCGCCATAAATCTCATTTCTTTGCTGCCCAGAGCCTCTGGCTCAGAAAACTCTCGTAGAAGGATGGGTATCGAAGCATTCATAAAAACACGTAAGGCTTAGAATTCTGATAAGCTCTGCGGCTCAGTATTAAAGTGACATCACTTAATCTTTTAAGGCTCTTATAGTCCTACGATATTTCTACTGATGCGATCGTACATCTGCAAACGCCTTTAAAGCTTTTGTGAAAAAACATTTATATTTTTGGCAAAGCTAGAAGATGAGATTGATTTAAGTGATTTTTTCTAGTGATTTATTTTATTCCAAAGGGGTGCTACTGGGTATAATTTTTGCGTTATCATTCTTTGCTCTATTTTTACCTCATTACAACCATAGCAAAACGCTTTTTCTTACTCATTATAGGTCGCAATAACCTCAAAACAACGTGAAGATGTCTCCTCTTCTGTTTATTCAAGCGCAACAAAAGTTGAGACGTCCACAATAAATTACTTCTGCGCCAGCACTTCCTTACACAAAAGCATTATTTTATCCTTACAAGTGAATTATCCGAGTCTTTTGATGAGTGCATAAGACCCTAATGAGATGTGGGAGTAAGCGCTAATTTGACACTTTAATTAGAAAAAGCCGAAAACTAAGCTGACGCAGTTGCAAGTTCAAAGGTTTCGCTGTGGAGTTAGTATCACTAATGAGCTTATTTTCGCAACTGGATAAAAAAAAGAAATCATAGAAATAGAACGACTTGGTTTCAAATTAAACAGGCTAATAGCTGAGCGTTTAGAAACATGATAAAACAATTTGATGACCTTCTCGGCAGCTTTTGACACTTAGTTTAGCACTGACTTTACCTTCCACGATTTTTCAAAAAAAATTTCTAATGCAAAAAATTGGGCAAAACAATCCATATAGCAAAAAGCCGAAAATTCGAAGAAAAAACGTTTTTTTGATACTTTTGATTTTCTCCGTTTCAAGAAAGCAATAAAACACAGGTAAGCGATGTCCTTGATTTATTCTTCATTTCAGCAAGCTATAGATGGAGATTTTCGATAAACACGTTTTTTCTGAAGAGGGCATGAATCTATAGATGGGCTATTCTAACTGAGCACATGTAGACCTAAGAAAATAATGCTGATCCGTTTTCCGATTTCTTTTTATGCACTTATCATGAGTCCTATTATTCAGTTTCATATTTTGTACGCATATATTATATAGTACTCTAGCGTAATGATTATTTTTTCACAGAGAGAGATTTGCCACGGCATGTCTTTTCTGATTAACAGGAACACGACGAAGTGGTGTAATTAGAGTCACTTCCTTTCCAGGAAATTGGCTTCGACAAAAAAGAGGAGGAAGTGGGGAATAGAGGAAAGCGCGGCAATCACAAGCTTGACATCAATTATGGACACAGCGCTGCGCTCTTTCGAATTTCTCGGCTATAAAACGCTCGCGAATCGGAATAATTGGAATCCACTCACCGCAGGTGTCTTACTCACCTCAGGCATAACGCCAGGCATGAGCATAGTGGTCTCCTCGGCGAAGACCGTGGCGACGAGGGCCATCCAAAGTCCCAACATTCCGCCGGATTTCATGTTTCAAGGAGTGAGCTCCGGCTCGGTCCGGAATCGATATGTGCTAGTGAGCGAATGCGACTGAATGTGAGCTCGGCCAGCGCCACGCCCACCGACGATGCTAAATGGTAGATTTCTGAAGGAGAGATGATAGCCACGCCCATCGACCGGAGGTGCACTTTTGGTCAAAAAACGATACTCTCAGAGGTGTACTCGGAAAGGTCAAAACGCAAAGAAGCACAGCAAGAACAGCACGGGTGGGTGTCCGGACTCATCTGGAATTACCCTGCCTCAAGGCAGCACCTAATGAAGCAGATCAACTCCGGAGGATTTCTCCAAACAAGGTTATTCTTTGGGCAGGATATGTCGGAAGCTCGCTATGAATAGAATTATGTAAAAATGGCAAATTTGTAAAAAATACTCGCTACTCAGCTGAGACTTGTATACTGGATGCTCGATAAAACTGTACCGCTCAATCGGCAACTTTCTTTTCTCATTTTTCTCGAAATCTGAAGGCATGCCTAGACAAATCTTTGAAACGATTTTGTATGTGGACCTTGCTGGAAATAACCAGAAACACCAAATAGAAATCGGAAATAATTAAAAGGCTGAAACGATGACTAAAACTACCTAGCAGAATGTACTTAGCTAAGCCTTTGCTCGAGCAGCAGCGTATCTTCATTCTTGGCGGTTGAGACATTCAACCTCAACTTCAGCCAGGACCGTAATCGTTTCAAGGGGACCAGTCAGCGAAGTCAGTATAGAAAGTACATTGTAGGATGCAGTCAACGTTATTTTTCTGGTACGAATAGGCCACGTGAGATAACCCTTGTGAGTTAACTAGCTATAAAATCTACCGATAACCTAGTGCATAAGAAATCAGGTACGCTGTCCTTTTGAATATCGTGTCAAAAGGCTGGACTGAACATAGAATATAAGAATTGTAAAATGATCACCTAGCGCTCCTCGTTACTGTAGGATGAGTAAGTACAAACCCACCAGCGTTATGGTGATTTAATGGGGAATACAGAAAAGTTGTTATTCAAACATTTTCATCTTAAAGTTCTTAGACGGGCCGATTTGGAGAATAAAAACTTTGTTCAGCTATAGCCGTCTTTCGAATAGAAACTGTTGTTGTAGTGTAAAAATCAGTTTTAGAATTAGGGTCTTAACTGACTTAGCGACCTAGAGCAGCTTTTTGAGATTATTTTTTGCCGTAGAACTCGACCGCGTCAATGACGTAAAGCCCTTTTGTCTTACCGTTATTCTATAGTAATAAAATCACGGTACGCTTTCCCATACTGCAAATAGAAATTGCAGCCAACTTTTTCATAGAGTACATCCAAACCTTTGAAAGACAAAACTGCAAGAGAGTTACCAACCATCAAAAGTAGAATCCATTTGTGGAACACCATATACTTGGCCCTGGATGGTGGAGCATCAGCTGGTTTAGTTTTTCAAGCATGCAAGAGTCATAGTTCGTAGGGAAAGACATCCTTGAAACAGTTATTTTACGCAGAAATGATATATTTCCTTGCTCGTCAGGTTACCACATTCAACACCTAACTCGAGCGAAATGACGGCCTGCGACGTATCATTCTTGACGAAACCGGGACTCCACAACCTTGTTTAAAATGATTTTCACGAGATTCGGCTTTGATACTTGAAAATAATATTACAAGGACTTAAAAAGCCATCAAAAATTTAGTGATCACTTTTATAGAAAGGGTTTCCCTTGAATTACCCCGGAGGAAAGATCGCGACGAATTTGTCGCACTCCCAATTTCCGCTTGAATAAAATTCTTTTCATTTTTTGATTCAAGTTTCATCCACCCGGTTTGTTGTTGTTTCTAAAAATGCAAAAAGTGAGATCTTACTAAATTATGATCACTCAACGGTTTTGCCACGATCTTTCCCTCGCGGCGATCCAGTGAAAACCTAAGGTGATGGTAAATTTGAATGAATCACTGGTTTTTAGAATCTATCCAAATATCAAACCCGAGCTTATGAATATCATATACTGCACAGTTATGGATCCCGACGGTTTCGTCATGATTAATACGCCCCAAGCCGTCTTATCCACCGAAATTAGGGCAATTGTAACTTTTCTCAAAGTAACCCTTATAACAAAATCTCTATTATTTGTACACACTTGCTTTATTTGTTTGAGTCCCTTTCTGTTCATACTGAAACTGTGCCACGAAAGAAACTCTTGATAACCGATTCCGAGCTTCCGGGAAAGCATTTGCCCTCGTTCGTAAACATAAATGAGCGTTCTTTTGGCTCTAAAGAATATTTTTTGCTATCATTTCATTTACCATTTACGGCATTAGGGAAGCCAATTATCATGAGTCCACATTCATGAAACCCATTATGGAAATCTCTAGTGCTAGCAATTCTTTTTTCTCCCGCTCATTTCCTATGTCTATTTATATGTGTGCATCGCTTTCTCGTCAGTAATGTGATGATATCAGATTCCCAAAGGCCTTTCCCAGCTGTGTATAAAAAGTGCAAGAAGAAACGAAGCAAATAGAAATGGAATTGGCAGCGGGGCATGTTGACGTCAGAAGGAAAACATCGCAAAACATGATTTGAGAGAAGGCCAGAAACGAGGAGAGAAGTACAAGATCAAAATTTGTTACACTTTTGTAGCTATATAATTTTGTATTTTGAGCTTTTTTGCAAATGCTTTTAGCTACATTTTTACTACTAACGCTTCATTTCACTGTGGATAGCGGAGTTTGAAGGCAAAAATTGGAAGAAGGAAAATGTCTTACACTTTCTGGCTTAGCAAATCAAAACAAAGAGATTTCACAAATTTAACAATTGATGCTTGGATTCACTTCACAAAATGAAAACTGCCTTTTCCCTCTACTTCCTTCCTCGATGGTTCTCTAAATCCCCCCCCCCTCCGCTGGATTTGATTTTCAGTCAAATAAACTAATTATCAGCAACATTTAGACAGCGAGCGAAGATTTAATTACAGAAATATCATCTAGAATTTGATTATATGCGCACAGCCAACGTCAATTTTGAGATATTTGAGTCCAAATAATTAAGATATTAAAGTCCAAATAATTCGCAACAACTTGTCCGATTGTATCAGTTTGCCATTCATTCAACTTCAAGTAGATTAATGACCATTTTACGTCAACGACAAAAACTACTGATAAGTCGGTAATTAATAAACTAATTTAAGTCCGATCAAGATGCAGAAATCAAACTTTCAAAAATGCATCAATACAGCACTGTGGAGATATTACATTACGTCATCAATATTTTCTTGAGTATCATTTTCTTGCATACCGCATGATTCAAGTAATTCTTTTCTATAAAGTGTGTTATTTCGCAGTTGTTGCTTAGCTACCGTCAAGAACGCATTAGCCATTAAAAAGGTCTAGAAGTTAGCTCAATGATGCCATATTTTGATGAGATTTTGATTTGACCAAAATTCGTAATGTATGAGTAATCATTAATTTTCAGTGGGATTTCTAAGGGTCCTAGAGTGCCTAGGATTCAAAAAAAAGAAATTAAAGGAGAGCAAATGTTTCTAAACAGAAATAAGAAGAGCTAGAAATTTGAAAAAAAAACCGTGTCACCCACTGGAACAGATAAATTTTGAACTCTGAAAAAAAAAATTTTTTTAGGTGTCCTATTTTCTTGGCATAAGTCAACTACAAATCTGTTCATTTTCATCCGTACTAATAAATTTTCATTTGCGTCTCATTAGGCATGAATATGAAGATTTGGAATTGCCTTCAACGCAAAGTTTTTTGAATCGAGCCTTCTGGGAATATGGGAGCATGATAATTTCATTTATCTCTCTGGCTTTCTCGAATTTTAGCCGAGGAAATATTGCTGAACGAAAAGCTTGCTACTCATTATGAAGAAAGTTGAATACTGGGAAGGAAGAAGCAAAGGCTGGGGAGAATTTTAGTGCTTTCTCAAGGCTCTTTGAGTGAGAAAATAAAGAAAACATAACAAAAAGGGAATTTCTCTTATTTTTCTTTGACTATAATGGGAAACTTTATAGGTGCAGATTTCCAAACCGAGTTCACTTTTCTTCAATCCACCGTTGAATTACTGAATGATTCCCGGGCCACTTTTGATTAATACATGCTTCAGAATTATTCAGATCTGTATGCCTCGAAGTTCACTTTTTTCTCAGCATTCCTAAACGTCGCGTTTCTTGGGAGCATTTACGAAATTTTCAAATTTGATTACTCCCCTGAACACTTCCTCCCTGCTCACCATAGCAACAGATTTTGGTATTTTCCTTGTGGGAAATTATTCTGCGACAAATCCAGAAAAAGATGATAAGCGCTTTTCCGTTGATTACACTATTCATTAAAGAGTGCCTAAGCAACATTATCAACTCGAGGGAGATAATCCGATAATTATTATCGTTAAACACTTCTGGGATAATCTGCAGTGCAAAAAGCAGGAAGAATTCCGCAGCAGTATTGGAACTTTATTTCTGATTTCATGGAGAGCGACGTTATGACTCTAAGCGGGGCCATTTGATTATCAAATAATCAACTGTTTTTGTTCTCACAGTCATATTGTGTTGACTGTTTGTGTTGCCTCACAGTAATCTTTCAATTTTCATTGAGAATGGTTTGTGACGATGTTTCGATTTAGCATTCAAAAATGCTAATCGAAATATAAAGAATGAGTAAAGGGGCGGGCATACTTTACGCGATTTCAGTCGCGACTCGATTTGGCAATATTTCAGATGTCCATAACTCATTGTAAGTGCATCCTAAATATACAGAAGATAGGGCATTTTATCAATCCACGCAACTTATACACACTCTGCATGCGCACTTTGCTAGCTTTGGATCTGAAGACTTCTGGCAAATTGCCAAATCGCGTCGCGACTGAAATCGCGTGAAGTATGCCGGCCCTTAAGTGGCTGTTGACGCTATTTAAAAGCCCATGACAAGCCTATCCTATGTACATACAACGGCTACGGTACAAACTCGGTTACATCGTCGTACTACAGTAATATCATAATGTGAGCGTAACACAGATGCCGCAATGGTCCAGCTTCCCATATAAAGATGTTGTTGATGTGAAAACTGAGTACCTATGCAAAACATGAACTAATCGTTTGAGTCCACGCACCGCCTCAAAAAATACGGTGAC